TTTTTAAAGATGACCGGTAAGGGGATCTTAACCCTTGACTTGGTGTTGTCAGCACCACGCTCTCCAAGTGAGCTAACTGGCCATCCCTATATATGGATCTGAACCCGCGGCCTTGGTGTTATCAGCACTGCACTCTCCCAAGTGAGCCATAGGCTGGCCCTTTCCTACTCATATTTTTGCTCTTACCTTATTAGTAGAATTCTAACAAATGTAAATGATCACATGAATTAATTACATGAGAGTACTTCAAAAAGTTCATGGAAGGGGGCCGGCCTGTGGCTCACTTGGGAGAGTGCGGTGCTGATAACACCAAGGCCATGGGTTCGGATCCCATATAGGGATGGCCGGTTAGCTCACTGGGTGAGCGTGGTGCTGACAACACCAAGTCAAGGGTTAAGATCCCCTTACCGGTCATCTTTAAAAAAAAATGTTCATGGAAGGATCTATTTATATTATCTTTTGTCTTTCCATGACCTTTTGAAGTACCCTCATGTGTGCAGGTGTGTGTGTGCGTACAGATATATACATACAAGAAACTTTGGGGCTGAGACGATGTGTTTAGTGTCATTTTAAGATGAATGAAAAAATAAAGTGATAACTGGTAAATACACAAATAAGATGGTAGTATAGGTGAGGGCTCTCCTTAGCAAGAGATGATTATAATCTCAAAAACACCGATAGCACAGCCTATTGGATGGTACAAAAGCATCAAGACCTATTAGGACATTAATTCAATGTCTGACAATGAACAATGTTAAGACCATGTCACTAGTACTTGCCACAGTCAAAGGACTGACTACATCACACCGCAGAGTTGTCTCTCTCCACATATACTCCAACCCTCACCCAACAACTCTGAGTAAGAAGAGAAAAATAACAGAGCAAGTACAAGAGAATGTTCCTGTTATAAAGGGCTTCAAGTGGATGGCATAGGAAGTGAGCTCTGCCTGTAGACAGGAAGCCCTGATGTCGATTTTCTGGGGATGAGGATGGGGTAGACCTGTTCTAGCTGGAGGGACTGGGTCTGAATGAGGGCTATGCTACATCTCCTGAACATCCTTCCTTACAAGCCACTTGCTTAGGGAAGGGAAGACTCAGAGATCATAAGTTTTGCTGTAGGAAGGCAGTACAAAAGGATTCTGAGATGCTATGAAGGAGAAAGGCATTACAATCAAAGACTGTTACCCTTTCTGTTTCAGAAATCTGAGATATAGGTTACTTATAAGAATATGAAACCAGGCCCTTTTATTATAAATGCTCAAGTTTTTGAGGAAATTATACTTGCTATGGACTGCAGTGTGTCCCCCACTCCAAATTCATATGTTGAAACCCTAACCCCCCCATGTGATAATATTTGGAGATGGGGCCTATGGTAGGGAATTAGACTTAGATGAGGTCGTGAGTGTGGGGCCCTCATGATATGATTAGAGTCCTTACAGAAGAGACGTAAGAAAGCTTGATTCTCTCTCTACCCACATGCACCTGAGGAAAGGCCATGTGAAGGGAGCTATAAGCAACCCAAGGAGACTGTCCTCACCAGACACTGACCCTGCTAGCACTTTGATCTTGGACCTCTAGCCTCCAGAACTGTGAGAAATAAATTCCTGTTGTTTAAGCCAACCAGTCTATAGTATTTTCTTATGGCAGACCAAGCTGACTAAGACAACACTCACATTTTGTCATAGCTTTAGGCCTACAACTCCTTTTGTGGGAACTACAAAAAAATAAGAATAAAGTCTTCACTCAGTTTCAAGAGTTGACTTTTTCTTTCTGTCACTGTGTTTTCTCTCACTAGATTGTAAGCTCTTAGAAGACAGGCAGTATGTCCTATCCTTTTGGAATATCCAGGGTTTAGACCAAAGAAGCCCTTAATAAAGGTTTGCTGACGAAATATTAAAGCCAAAGGAATATAACTATGGAATCAAAATTTTTTCTATCATTGGCAAAAATAGAAGTGTGGGTAGAAACAAAAGGTGTCATTTCATTTAGATTAGTAAAGGATAGACATTTCCCCTGACATGCCTAATTTTTAAAATTCTTTCTCTCCTTCCTTCACCTTTAATGTATCTATTAACTTTTCTGACTATCGCCTAATATACTGCTATAGGGAAAGAAAAGAAGAGCCAGGGAGGATAAAAACCTAGATTTTAACACTTATCACTTCAGTAGGTTGTGAATAATCAGAATGGTAGAAGGCTATGGTTTCTAAAAAAACAAACAGACTTCTTGATAGTTCCTTTGCATTTACAGAACATTTAAATTTTTTGAAAGCTCTTCCATATATATATCATATGTAACTTTATTTAGACTTCAACTTCCAATGAGCCAAGGTCTTTGTTTTGCAGTATTACTGCTTCTGAAGAACTGAAACAAGTTTTCAACTGGGGGTGATTTTTGCCTCCCAGGGGACATTTGGTAATGTTTTGAGACATTTTTTAGTTGTCACAACTAGGAGGTGGTGCTACTGGCATCTAGTGGGCAGAGGCCAGGGATGACGCTAAACATCCTACAATGCTCAGGACAGCCCCCATAACAAAGAATTAACTGGCAGCAAATATCAGTAGTGCTAAGGTTGAAAAATCCTGCACTAAAAGAATGAAAGAAGGAGGAAAAAAGACAGGGTGGATTCTTCTTCAGAGTTTTTTTTTTTTTTTTTAACCCGAAGTCCTAAGTCATAGATGACTTGTTTCTAGATCACATTATTGGTATCTTGGTTCAGCAAGAGTGGTCAAAACACAGCAAAGCCTGGTTTGTCTGAAAAGGGTTCAGTGGTTGAATGATTATCCTTAACTAGCTTGCTTTAGAAATGCTTTCTTCCCAAGATGAGCACAAGGGGGCGCAAGACCCCACGTCACTAGAGTGTTCGCAAACTTCACACCACTCTACTGCCAAGACAGAAAAAAGAGAAACGCGAACCAGGTGTGACAGTTAATGCTCTTGCCCTGCAGAATACTATCAGCTATGAGGGCAAAACTCATGTCTGTTTAACTGGCTTGCACAACAATGTCTAGCATAATATCATATTGTTACCTGTGTTTCATAATTATTTTCATAGCCAAATGAAGATAGTTCTTTCCTACTTTTCTTCTCATTATTGTTCAGAGGTTGAAATGAGGATTTTACAATCTAAACAGCAAAATCATTCCCATTTAAAAGCTGAGTACAATTCAATCCTACTAAGGGGAGAGACTTACCCACCTAGGTATAAACCAAACCAACAGGTCAATGGAAACGGAGCTCTACTATACAGATGGCATGAAATAGAGATTTTTTAGCTCAGACCATTGCTGCTCTCATCCACACATCTGGACTGTGTATGTACACAACGTGCCAAGTCAAATACCCTGAAAAGATGAGGCCCAGGAGGACGGTATGGCAGATTGAAACCTGCCCTGAAAGTTGAAAAGGGAAGGGAATGTGTACAGGAAACTATCTACCAACCATTTTGAAGTCTTACAGCTAAAGCTAAGATCACTTCTGGGATCTTTTACCTATAATTATGAAGGTGCCTCCAGGGAAGTTTTTAGTGGTACAAAATGTTCAGAGACATTCTGGGAGAAAAGTCTTAGGTCAGTGGTTTTGAACCTTTCACTAATTTCCCCCCAATGCACTAATGTTTTGAAAGGTTTTGTCTATCAAATTGCATGTTAAAAATAATTTGTTCCATATGTGTGACTGCTGATCCAGATTTTATTCAAAGATCAGTAATTTTAAGAAGGTTTGTGATATTATGAAATACACAAATCACTGTTGCAGTTGTGATGCTAATAAGCAACAAAGTTAAATAATTGTAAAGACTGCTACTTTCTTTCTGACCACTTTCTGCTACTGATCACTAATTCTGGTCATCTCTCTGTATATATTCAGGACACAGCTATATAACACATGACTTCATGACATTATTTTGTTACCAAGAATGTTTTCCAAAGTTCTGTATCATTAGCAACCATTTAGAGCTTCTAAACAGCTGAGCTGTTTTACTGCATTGAGTTGATATGATTCTAGTCAAATGCCAAAAGCCTCAAACCTTCCCAAACTTAATATTCTATTTAGAAGTTTGGGAAATATATAAAATACAGTTAAAGACTTTATGAACTCCAGGAATATAGGAAACACAATCCAGGACTTACGGTCTTAAGGGATTTTACAGAAAATTTTCTTTTTTATTCTAGTGTATTGTGTATTGGATTTACAAATAACCCATTTGAATCTTCCTTGAATAGTTTAGAGGTATCCAACATATCTGAATTAGTATTTTCTAAAAAATCAAACTTGCTCTCAAGAATCTAGAAACTCACAGAAGTTTAGTGCTGGAAATAAACTCGGAGATCATCTAGTCTAATTACCTTACTTTTCACCAGAAAACAACTTCTTTGGATCTTAAGTGAATTTAAATCATTTGAAGAGCCATAAAGCCCAGTTTTCCAACTCCCAACTCAGAGCTCACCGCACCATATCCCAATGCTTTCTGGTAACCCACACATTATTTCAGTATATATAATAAATAATTGTAAATAAATAAATATATGTAAATAATCATATATTATCTAAGCCTATGGATTTCAAGTTTATTTGACCAAAACCCACAATAAGATATAGGTTTTGAATTGCAATCCAATACTCATACACAACTAAACAAAAGTTGTTATACAACAAAACTTACCCTTATTACATATTCTAATACACTTCCACTAAATTGATTTCATGATCCAATAGTGGGTCTCAGCTCAAAGTTTGAAAAACAAAACCATACATGTTGCTCTCTGGCTGTATTAATTTTGGGTTGATTATACATTCTTACATAATTCTCTAGCTGTTTCATTTGGGTTAACATTACCTCCCTTCCCTCCAGTCAAGGTTGTAAATTCAATAGCATGTCTTGTAGCAGATGCTCCATAAAGACTTATTAAAGTATATTTAAGCATCACTGTTTTATACTATTGAAAAACATCATCTAATTTCTGTTCATGGATTGCAGCAGCAAAAAAGAAAAGGGTGAAAAAAAAAGGAAGAAGACTTGACAAAACTCCCATTATCTCTCTAATTCTCAGCACTAAGTCCTTTCTGCTTGACATGGAGAAGGCTTATATTTGGGGGTGGGAAAGCAATGGGTAGAACACTCTGACTGCAATCTAACGAAGTGCTGTTTCTTTTTTTCTTATACCTGGGAGTTTAAGATCTAAGTGAGAAAATATCACACTCCTAGATGCTACAAGAAAGGGTTTTTGAGAAGCAATCTATGATGAATATCATTCAAGAATTTCTCCAGATTCTTTACAGAAGTGAGTGTGCAGAAATCATCTTGGCCATAAGAAGCAATTAATACTCTCCTCCTGTCAGTTTCTTTTGAAATCTATGCATGTTCTCTTTTCTTCTGTTATGCGCCCTAGTGACTTCACCAAGACAGTGAAAAAGAAAATAATGTGAAAATCATCCTTATGAATTCTACTATTTGCTAACAATTATTCTATTCATGCCTTTTTCATTTCACAAACACTTCTTGAGTGCCAACTATGTACCAAGCACAAAGTTTTAGGCCTTAAGCGATACAGTCGTGGGTAGGCAAGCTGGACCTCATTTGCCTTTGTGGAAGGTTACAATCTAGAGCAGAATGTGTAAAAGAGGTATTTGTATTCTTTTTTTCACATTAATTCATTCTTCTCTCACCATTTCTTTTACTGAAAATGACAGACTTGTAAAAATTCAGGCTTATTCTTGCCAAGAAGGGTATTGATAGAATTCAGAGTAGGGAATACCAGCACAATTCATTGACACTTGAGTAAATTCTTTGAGATAGAAAGGATTGTACACGGACTCACACACCTTGAAGTATACAGTTCCTTTCTCTTTGACAATGGCAGCCTGCTCCAATTTTTCTTTGGTATCCATCTCCCAGGATTCTTTGGCCTGTGTGTAAATTTGTGACAATGGTTAGATGAACAGAGAAAGAAAAGCATCAGTTGATGGCCATTAGTAGGAGCAAATAGTAGCTACTTCTAGAGGATACCCAGAACTCAGAACATGCTGGCTGATGGCACTGTGTGCCACTGCCAACTTACTGCTAGGCTAGTGCTCTTTATAGTGCTTTAAGACTCACTTTCTATGATGACCAAGCTATAGCTTAACACACGTTGCTCAAGAGGGAGGAGCACGTAAAAGCACAATAAGGAACATAAGCTGTTGAGCACTGTTAAAAAGTGCATCTTTAGAATTATAAGATGAGGCTACACAAAGTTAGGGCCCCTTATTTCTCTCTTACAAACCTCTCCACTAAGTTGTTTCTCTCAAGCCTCAGTTTTTCAACTCTAAAATGGGAACACTACTGTAGTCAAGTCAGTTGTATTCATACAGAAGTTTCAAAATTCCAGGTCAGGTAGTTGTCCTGTCACTCTAAAACAACCAGATATACTAAGGCCTCTAAACTCTATCAACTCACACACGTACACTCGGGGAATTTCAAGTAAAACATAATTGGGAGGGTAAAGCTCATGCAAAAATATCACTTCAGAGCCACAAATGATTTCATTATCATCTGCTATTTGTATTACGTGTATTGTTATTCTCCACTATTTAGATAGAAATCCAGAAGTAACTGCACTTTCCATAGGAACAGCTGAATTTAGAAGGATCATAAAGAGTCAAGAGAACAATCTAGGATCCTTTAGGGAAAGTGACAATAGGCATGGTCAGTGGTATTTACTGCACATGAATTATGAAGTTTAAGTGGGTAACTGTAAAATTATCTTTATTCAAAAGACAATTAGTATGTGTTCCTGATATCACAGTTCCCCCAACCCCTGTTTTTTAAAGTGAATAATTAGAGGGTTACTAATCTTTCTGGTAACCCATGTTGCTTTGTAACAATTTAGCTCAATTATTTAAAAACCTAGTTAACAAGGGCCCTTTGCATTTTTTATATTGGCTTCAGTCTCCACGGAGTATAAATGTATTCCTAATACCACAAGGCAGAGAATTAAATCACACTGCCTCCAACAACATCACATACCTTCACATGGTTTCAAATATACCAAGCAATGGTGCATGAATATAGTCGTGGAACAAGACCACAGCATAGGCTCGTTGTGGCATATCACAGTGAGGATGCTCCTAAATAGGCAGTGTCCACTGGGCCATGGGTGGTAGGGGGAAAGAGGTTACTTTATAAAAATGGAAATAGGAGAGCCAAAGGTCTAAATAATCACATGCTAAAGATTTTCTCTGTCTTTAACAATAAAAAACACAATGTGCTATGAAGACAGCATTGAAGGATCAGTGCTGAGCCAGCAGGCATTCAGTAGAGGTCACCTGCCAATAAGTGATGGTCAGGACAAGAGCATATGTTTGTTTTGGGGAACATGAAGTGGGAAGGGTATGATGAGGAACACTGCTGTTGGGTGAGAATTTCAAAGAAGTCCACCCCTCATTTTCTTAGCCCAAAGGTATAGGCCCACAGCACAATGGTTTCCTTTCTGAGTCTAACAAAATATAAACAGTCACGTTTCTAGTCAAATGTTTAATGAATACAACTTAGAGGTAGCACTGTGTGGCAGTTAAAAAGCAATACAAAATGCAGTCCTTGAGGAGCTCTGGGAAAGGTGGGGCTTTGGAAATGCAAGGAGGATGTAGCTGACGACAATAGCATACCTAGCTCAGGCATATGCTGTGTGTTTATCCCATTAAACTGCTACTAGGAGCCTCCAGAGATGGACAAAATGAAAATATGTTCAAGGAGGCATACCGTTTCTGGGACCAGAGGCAACTTGACAAATTCTTTCTTCTTCATTTGGATGGGTATGAAAAGAAAATACCTAGGGTTAGCAGGTTTCTTTCTTGTGTCCCTGGTCACAGAGCCTGATGGCCCCCCAGGCCTTGCAATTTGGATAATAACGTGAAGCCACAGAGCAGCCCTCTTCGTGACTCCTGTGAAGGGTACAATCCGTTCAGTACTGAAAAGCTGCGCCCCACTCCCCCAAGGAGCTGCTTGGCAGGACATGAACCTTTTTGTCCTTAACCCAGGAAAAAAAGTACAAAAAGAACAAGTCTAGGAACAAATAAGGGAACAAGTCTTGGATTCTACCCAAAAAAGTTAAAAAAAAAAAAAAAGAGCTGACACATAGGAACAAAATAACACTGAGCTCCTTGGTTGTATATCAGCTGTGCTATGTCAGTTGTCTCATACTCTAGAAACAGTGTTGGAGACAAGAGACAAACTTGATAATGAAAAGCACAATATACAAATAAACACCATCTATCTACACCACCTGATAATATAAGATACTGATTTATAAGAAGTGGATGGAGAAGAAATCTACCATGACTTTAGAGAAGTTGGTATTTTCTCACCTTTTCGAAGCTCTTAAGTGTAACTTCATATATAAGCTCAGCATTAGGTTCAATGCCAAATTTAGGCTTCCCTGCCTCTCCAAAACCATATCTGAAATGGAGAGTAAAAAATAAAACTTTGAAAGAATTGGTGTATTTCCAGGCACTTCCTTCAGTATTTTGAGGCATCATATTAGTACAGAGCTATCATTTGCAAACTATATGCATCAGAGACCATGAAAACAAACCAGATGTTGATCAGAAGGTATAGTGCCAAGTATCACTGTTGCGGTTTTCTTAGAAACCAGGCTAGTGTTAGTTTTCTCTTCTCCTTTACATTCACATATAATGCAACACCTGTACTCCTTGGGACAGCTTGCTTAATGTGATTTTAAATATCACTGCCTTTTTCTCTGCTTGTTTTTATATCTAGTTCTTTTTATAAAACAGCCAATATTTGGCTATTAGGACATTCCCTCTAAGCTTTATCAGCAAGAAGGACAGAGAGGACACAGTCACTGTAATTGTTATAGTGGTGTTCATTACAGGTATGTTTTAATAAGCTTTAAAGTACTGTCACCTTCCTAGTACCACTTCCAGTCAGATAAATGGGGGGACAAGGGGAAAGGCTTGCATATTAAGAAAAAATACCTTCTCCTAGTATTTCTTTAAGATTTTAAAAAAGCACACTAGAACAAAAATAATATAACAAATATATGATCAAAAATAGCAGCCCTAGCAAGCTCTAATACCTTGTCAAAAGAAATACTCTTACAACTCTGTAGCTATCATATTGTAAAATGCTATACTTTTTAGCCAAAACTTACTGAATAAAATAACTGGGAATATATAAATTTGTTTTTTAGGATCATTTAAGATCTTCAACAAATTAAATGTGTTCAAGAAGCATATATATACTAGAATGGAAGCTCTAGTAAATCTCTGTCCATCTGGTTCAATGGTTTCCCAGCATTTACAACAATACCCAGCATATTAGTAAAATATTCACTACAATACATTTTTTCCCCATCTGTTGTAATATTTTATCAGTATATAAAATATTACAAAAAACTTATTAAACCCAAACTTTCAGGCTATGGGTTAAAAAATGTCAAAACCAGGTCAATGCTAATACCTCCAATTTTCTTTGGGGCAAAAGGACTAGAGTGGAAATACTCATGTCTTGTTGTTTGTATCACTTTACTCCTTGACTGAATTTTCCAGGAAAAAAAGAGCTTACTCACTCACCTCCATTGTTACACAAGAAAATGGAAGCTGGAGCCAGAGAGAACCATGGACATATAATGAGAGCTGGCAGGAATGGGGTGTGGTGGTTTTAATAGCAGGGCAAAGCGTATCTTAAACAAAGAAATTTTTAAAAAGACCTAATTACTGGTGGCCAATTTAGGGAATTGGTGCATAGTTTTCTACTTTGAGCTCTTAGATCTATATATCTCCTATTTTGTTTCTGCCATCTGGTAAATAAAGAACATTCCTTAACTTCTGGAAACTAGGTAGGTAGGTGAATCCTCCTTACTAAGTACCTGTTTACTGAAAGCATATTATATTTGGAGTCCTGTCCTAAGCAGGTACAAATGCAACAGATGACCTGGCACTTGCCTTAGACCAGTGGTTCTCAACTGGGGTGATTTTAACCCCTCCTCATCCTGGGGGATATTTGGCATGTCTATAGACATTCTGGGTTGTCATAACTATGGGAGTGCTAGTGGTATCTAGTATATAGAGGCTAGAAACATTGCTGAACCTCCTACAATGTACAGGACAGCCTGCCCCAACCAAGAACTATCTGGCCCAAAATGTCAGTAGTGCTGAGGATGAGAAAACCTGCCTTAGAGGAACTCACGAAAAGGGACCCCAAGGCTTGGGGTGGAGTGTGTGGGGGTTGGGTAGAGGGAGGCACCAAAGTGTCCTGGCTATTATCAATGGGATTAAACAGCCTGAAAAAGGATATTATTTTTACAATCTCTCCTGGGCTAAAATGAAGTGATTCTGTCAAGATGTATGTGGAGATCATCATCTTGGGGAGGCATAAGCTCACACCAAACTATGTGGGAGCACCTATCCTGACTCCCATATTATACAGAAAGTTATCTGACTTATGCTAATCAGCCTGGGCAAAGAAAGACTCAGGGCACACAATTCATCTGACCGAAAAATAAAACACTACAAATGGAATTCCAGGACTTAACGGAAAGATAATCTGGGCTATATAGTAACAGAAAGAATTTAATTAATGTCCTTGGATTAATAGTTGCCTTCAGAGAGTAGAGATACAAATAATGACTATTAATGACCATTCTTTATGTGCATACAAGAAGCACATGTACTACAAGTTCTTACCATTTGCTCCCTTTTTATAGATGAAGAAACTGAGGCTCAGAGAAGTGCTTCCTGAGAAGTCACACAAAGAGGCAGTGGCAGAGCCAGGACACAGGAATTCAGACCCTGTGTGTCCCCAGAAAATTGTTCAGTTTTTTGGCCTAAACTGCCTCATAATTAGACACTATTGCTCTTGGCAGTCTATGTTTTTGTTTGGGGTTGGTGCAGGATAGAAACATAAGGAAAGGAAGGAAAAAGAAAAAAGTTAAAACTATCCACACTTTATCTAAACAAAAAAGATTAATCAGTCACAATACTTAAAACAACAATATAAAGGGTAGATATTGTCCCAATGAGAAGAGAGAAAAATAGGTTTTTTGGAAGTGTTTTACGAGTTTATTATTATGAAAACATTCTGCCAAGGAATCAATTAGAATCAAAGAAAAGGTATGCCTTGGAAATTTTTTGGAGAATGAAATATAGATGAGACTAAGAGCATATATTTGCAACAGCCATATTTATAGCCACATTCAGATACAATGTTCATGGAAAGTAGGAATCTGAATAAAATAAGTAAATTTGCTGCATGTACTGAAAACGTGCTTGGTGTGTAGGGGACTCTCTACATACATAGGTAGTATCATACAATGCATGTGAAGACAGTCTCATATTTCAGAGAATACACTTTACATATCTCCTCAACATACCAACCAAAAACTTGTCAAATAATTTTATGCCTCTTATGCAAAGATCTGAAAAATCTACCATATTTTAAAACAGGATTTCCTCTTTCTTGTGGTCTGAGGGTAAAATGGAGGGAAGAGATAGCCATTACAACAGCAATAACAGCAAACATACTGAGGGCTTTTATGCACCAGGCACTTTGCTAAGTGCTTCAAGTGCATTATTACATTAGTCATCCACAACTTTATGTGATAGATACTGTTATCCTCATTTACAGAAGGGGAAACCGAGGGTTAGGACAGTTAAGTGACTTGCCCAAGTGCACACAACTGGTAAGCTGCAGAGCCAAGTTTAACCACTAATGATACAAGTTTAAACTTGCAAGGAACTATTTGCATAAAAATATAAAGACAATTTCTGTTCCTCTTTACCATTAATCTTTTTTTTTTTTTTTTTTTTTTTTTTTTTTTTTTTTTTTTTTCTTTTTTCTTTTTTTTGTCTTTTGTCTTTTTTTTTTCCGTGTCTGGCAACGGATCGCAACCCTCAGTGTCGCCCCCGTACCGGACCGGGGACCGGCAACGGGATCGCAAACCTCGGTGTTGCTCCCGCGCCTCGCTCAGCCAGTGAGCGGGAACCGTTCTATATGTGGGATCCGAACCCTCGGGCGGGAGCGCCGCCGCGCTTCCCAAGCGGCGCACTATCCAGTGCGCCACCGGGCCGGCCCTTTACCATTAATCTTTTTTTTTTTTTTTCTTTTTTCTTTTTTTTGTCTTTTGTCTTTTTTTTTTCCGTGTCTGGCAACGGATCGCAACCCTCAGTGTCGCCCCCGTACCGGACCGGGGACCGGCAACGGGATCGCAAACCTCGGTGTTGCTCCCGCGCCTCGCTCAGCCAGTGAGCGGGAACCGTTCTATATGTGGGATCCGAACCCTCGGGCGGGAGCGCCGCCGCGCTTCCCAAGCGGCGCACTATCCAGTGCGCCACCGGGCCGGCCCTTTACCATTAATCTTCAGACATCTGCCTCTACAATTGCCTTGTCAGTTAGGTTAAAATGTAATAAACTGATTCATATAATACTATATGCTCTCAACACATACAGAACTTATCCTCAAGGAGCTTACATTTGAAAACATAACATTAGATAAAAACCACACTCTCTCTCTGAGTTTAGAACTTGTGTAATTTTGGAATGCTAGATTAAAGGTAATTAGCAATTATTTGGATATGGAGGAGATAGCCTTCTCTATGCTCTACTTGATTAAAAAAAGTTCCTTCTAGAAACAGAGAAATAGTTCCACCTAAGAGTGAACTACAAATATGGAGTAAATAGAAATAAAACTCACTACAGTGGGACTATAGTGGTGGGAAAAGGAATAGGGTAGAGAAAAAGAAGGTATTATATAAAAGGTACCTCAGTGAAGGCTTTAAAGAGTTCAAGGTACAGCATTTTGGAAGGATTGTCAAGTGGCAGTGGCATGGCTAGAACATCAACTGAGAAATATAATTATGGATCAAATGTTATGGCAAAGGTAAATATGTCACTGGATTACCACAGAGGCTACACAAAGGCAAAAGAATGTACAAAATGCACAATTTTACCTATTACCTAAGTGCAGGTCATCAAGATTCTAAGTAACTCAAAATCTTAAGTCTGAAATCCATGGAGCCAGAGGGAGGATACACTAGCTAAGCAGATGCACTTTCATGCAAACAATCAAAACACTCTGGTTTCTCTCAAGGGTCCATTTCTCAAGATAGAAAGGTTGGATTCATGGTATAATTTTAGATCTAAAAATAATACCAAACATGTTTTCACAAGAGAGACTGTCAGTGTCTGATAGTTCTAAGCTTGGAAGTGCTAATGGATATCCTTATGATGGGAAAAATTTAGGCAAAAATGAGTCATCTCCGCTGCCTTTAAATCCAGGAAGAACACACTTTTTTTCAGGGACTCCGTATAAGAACAGGTGGCACAAATTCAAGTGGTAGTAAATCATCCAGACACTTCTTTGACTCCCAACTCCCACATGTTCTACTGCCTCCTGCCGCATTTAGAGAAAAGGGAAGAGGGGGCAAGAGAACCACATGTGAGAAGGGTCAATACCTGCCTGGGCAAGATGGCAGGCAAAAGAAATTAACAAAAAAGCAAAACTTGCCTATCAGTTCTATCCTTTTTATTTTAAATTGATTTTTAAAAATTTCAATCCTATCCTTAACACACATTGATCAAGTAAACATGCTCACAAACCTCTGTGATATTGTAAGGCCCATTAACTTACTTGATGGCTAACTGTAGCCTGATTTAATTAATTGTTTCCACTGTTGTATTAACTTCACTGAAAATGCCAAAACACTGTATCAAAAGGCAAGTATATGTTCTTTAGCTAACTTCACTGTATACTGAACTGGTATGCTGCTTACCGTGGTCCGAGATATAAAATACATTGTTCTTCCCGCTGCATTTTCTCTAGGGCTTTGTCAATTCCAATGGGAATGTCGTGGTCTTCTCCTTCACCAACAATGAATACCACATCTCTGCAATCAAACATCTTTCCACCACAGCAGCCTTCCAGGTGGACTGAGGGAAAGGAGATAGGACAGTCAACAAAGCTGCTCTAAAGGACTGGCTAATTCAGTGAAGTGATAAATGAGTGTTCAACAATGTAGCAATATCATTTCCCCTTTCTCATTTCATCAAGAAACATACATGGTGTGTTTTGTCTAGAAGCTTAGTCCACCCTGTCTGAGAGTTTAAGAGCAATCATATTTCTAAGTTAAAATTACTGATAACTGTTTCAATAAGATAGCTTAGTAGGTAATGAAACAAACTGGAAATATAGGTTTAATCTAAGCTTGCATATGACAGACTATATTTCATCTACAAGGTCAAGAAATATTGGATTATTTAATAGAATAATTATCAAAATTCCACAAATTTAATATCAAATTTAGGAGTACAACGGCATAAACATCTGTAAATGCATCTTGGCTTCAGATGCTCGGGAAAAAAGACAAAGCTGAGTGGCTGTTTCCCCAATAATATACAAAGGTTTACTGAATACAGAAGTTCTTTCTTTAGGAATCCTAATCTCATTCACAAATATATTTGTGGAAAAAAGGAAAATTCAAAGGTGACAACATTAATAACTAATTTAGCTGCACCTCTTATGCTATTAGAAGTAATAAATGTAAAGTGTGACAGAATCTATAGTCTCCTATAGTTTCACAAATCAAATTACTTAATAAGCTCCCCTGAAATGTTAAGGGAGGAGGTCAATTTCTTGGGGCCTAATTCCTTACTCCACCCAAACTCAGCTCATTCCCAGGGCAATTTCATATTAGATGAGAGGCTTTTATCTTATTTGAAGATAAGACAGGAAAAATGCATAGAGACATATTGCTTCCTTGATCAGTTAGACTCTTTTTTCTAGGAAAAACAATCCTCTGAAACTTTTTTTTCTTTTTAAATTTTATTTTATTTTACTTCTCAAAATACATTGTACTTGATTTTCATGCCCCTTTACCCAGTTCTCTCCACCTTCTCCCCTCCCCCCTCATCGTATCTGTGCACTTGACTCAAATAGTTCAAGGAATTTTTGTGGTTACTGTCTTCTTCCCCCTACCCTTTGTTTGTGTGTTTATTTATTTATTAAATTTTAGGTCCTACAAATAAGTGAGAACATGTGGTATTTCTCTGGGACTTTCTAATTCCTTTTAATATTAAGGATATTTATACCCTTCCATTTAAGTCTTTGACTCAGTAAGAAAAATGGGTGGTTTTTATAACAGCATAACAGTCATCAAGCAATATAATAATTTACCTTTCATAAGAAACTTCTTTATTTCTACTTCTGCAAAATCATGGCCTATATTCAAATCTAGTGATATCCTAAAATGCTTGTTTTCTAAGATTGGTTGATTTACTTTAGATCAATAACTTACTTACTTTAGAGAGACTAAAAATCACTTGTTCTGTTATACTCATTCCAAGTCCAATAAGCCAATTATTATTTTCCAAATTCAAATTCAATTCCAACTTACTCTACTTTTTAACTAGATGATCTCGAAGGTTCCTTAAAGCTCTAAAATTCTATGATTCTATGACCCTGTAATATAACTCTCAATATAGGCCAGAAACCAGCTTCAAAGCTAATTCCTGTAGTTAATCATTTGATCAGATTACCTTTACCCCAGCCCTGAGAAATGAAACGAACTCTGAAGAGTAAACAGCAGTAGTGTAGACACTAGGGGCTAAAAATGTTGCCTGGACATTTATGCTTTAAAGTGCTCTACCCTTTTCTAATTCACTAGGATTTAATAACACCTGGATTTGTTCCCATCTCGGACATTAGGATAGAGTCTAGGAAACTTGGGCCAAACTAGAGAGAGCCTGACTCTTGAGTCGGCTTCTCCAAACAAGGGCTAGAGCTAGACTGGTCCTCAGGGTGGAGCTGGTATATGGCATTTTGTTTTATGTACCATACTCATAAACGCAGATGATTCCCTCTGTTATACTCATGTTTGGATTGCTCTAGATAAAATAAAAACTTAACTTGCAACAAACTGAAAGTTCTTCTGAATTAGAAAATATTATAAAAATAAATTCAACTTTATTATTTTCAAATACATGTATACTAGAGAGATTCCACAGGGAGTCTAAGGCTTAGGATATATATTTTTTTAAATTCCTTTTTGTCTTTTTTTACTGACCGGTAACAGGATCGCAACCCTCGGTGTTGGGCCCGTACCGGGGACTGGCAATGGGATCGCAACCCTCGGTGTTGCGCCCGCACCGCGCTCAGCCAGTGAGCGGGAACCAGTCTCCACATGGGATCCGAACCCTCGGCGGGAGCGCTGCCGTGCTCCCAAGCGGCGCACTCTCCAGTGCGCCACCGGGCCGGCCCGGCTTAGGATATTTTTACTAGAGTAAAAATGATGTTTCCAAAGGGGTTGAGAGTTCGTAAAAGTTTGTGTTCCTAAATATTTTACAATCTGCCCAAGAAATTTAACTTAGACTAATGGATGACACTTTCATGAAAACAAAAAGATTTGTTGAGCAAAGTGAATTTCAGCCCAAATATTGTGGAATGTCTCAAGTATTGAGATTTATTATCATAGTAGCTCACAACTTCATTAACAGATCTTTTTGTCTGAGTTTTGTTAGAAGTATCATCCTCCTCCCTAAAGGAGAGTAGTACATTTAGTGGGGGAGGAAATTATCATGGCTTTTGGTTGATCAAGTTTGAATGTGTTTTCATAACAGGAAATCCAAGACTGCAAAGGATTCCTGCCTGTGTGTTATTTTCCTAGGCTGGTTTTCAGCTTGATGTATGTACTTGATATTGAAATTATATAAGTAATTTTTTTCTCTTTAGATATGATAACCCATCTTAGAGGGAAAAAAGATTGACTACAAATAAATATGTTGGGAAAGGTAAATAAAGCAAGCAAGCCAAAAAAAAAAAAAAAAAAAAAAAAAAAAAAAAAAAAAAAAAAAAGAAAGAAAGAAAGAAAAAGGTCAAACTATAATGAAGGCATAATTAAGAAAGCAAAACTTTCACTGCATCTAGTATCTCTCAGAGAGACAACAAATAATAGAACCAATGTTTGTGGCCATCTAATTGAAAGGTAAATTTGAGATAGCTCTTAAAAATACTTACTACTTTATATGTAGACTGATCTTTTCTTCTGGTAAATCTAACTCTTCAAAATTGGACCTGAACAAGAACTACCTTCAGAACCATAAAATACATTTTTAAAATTTTTTAGGGCCGGCCCGGTGGCGCACTGGATAGTGCGCCGCTTGGGAAGCGCGGCGGCGCTCCCACCCGAGGGTTCGGATCCCACATACAGACCGGTTCCCGCTCACTGGCTGAGTGAGGCGCGGGAGCAACACCGAGGGTTGCAATCGCGTTGCCGGTCCCCGGTCTGGTATGGGGGCAACACTGAGGGTTGCAATCCGTTGCCAGACACGGAAAAAGACAAAAAAAAAAAAAAAATTTTTTTTTATTGATTATACATGTTCATGGGGCACAGAGCTGACCATCAGTACCTGTGCTCAAGATATGATGATCAGATCAATACTATCAGCATAAAATATTAAGCCGATACCAATACACAGATATACACCCCAGTTTATATGTATGTATAAAACCACCACTTTCTAATACTAATTATATCTGGTATACTGTCTTAACAATTCTTAGCAAAGAAAACCATGGCAGCCCTGGCTGTGGAAGACCTGTGATTGCTCCAGATATAATTAGTATTAGAAAGTGGTGGTTTTATACATACATATAAACTGGGGTGTATATCTGTGTATTGGTATCGGCTTAATATTTTATGCTGATAGTATTGATCTGATCATCATATCTTGAGCACAGGTACTGATGGTCAGCTCTGTGCCCCATGAACATGTATAATCAATAAAAAAAAATTTTTTTTATTGATTATACATGTTCATGGGGCACAGAGCTGACCATCAGTACCTGTGCCCAAGATATGATGATCAGATCAATACTATCAGCATAAAATATTAAGCCGATACGCATACACAGATATACACCCCAGTTTATATGTATGTATAAAACCACCACTTTCTAATACTAATTATATCTGGAATGTCAGAGCAAGAGGAAGTATCACAGCCTCAAGATGTACACAGCCTATTCATTTTATTATATCAGCAAGTAGCAAAGGCTGTTGCTTGGTTTACTGGATTCTAAACTTGGAACACTGGTGTGACAATTTCTACAGGACTGCTGACAAGAAAACTCACATACTACTTGGAGCCACAGAAAGACTGCTGATTGCCACAGTAGAGGCCCCCCTCAAGGTGACAGATGCAGATGTGCCTAGTTCCTATAGATTCAGTTATTCTTTTTTATACTGTCTTAACAATTGTTAGCAAAGAAAACCATGGCAGCCCTGGCTGTGGAAGACCTGTGATTGCTTTTGACCTTGCATCTCTTAGTGCAAATATTCACTTAATAAATATTTAATAATAACCATCGTGACTCATTGGGAGCTCAGCCTCCAGGGCTCAGGAGGTCTGTTGCTAATCCCAACCAGCACAATTTACGGGAAGTAAATCATCTATGACGTGCCCAAAGAGAATAAAAGTACATACAGGATGCTTCTACTTAGGGCTTTTTCGGTACAGAAAGAAATAAACAAGTTAAAAAGAGACAGCATTTTCTCTTCATTTAAAGTGTATGTAACTTAAAGTGGGGGAGGTCCTCCAAACCCCACAAAGTCAAACCAAACCAAATTACCCAAGCTTAGCTGTGCTATCTGAGTGTAACCACATCAAGTGAGCTGCAAAACATCACTTAAACTGGAGCTCTGACTTATTGTTCTCTTACTGCCCTAGAGCAATTTTGTTTTGAAGAGCACAGAACACCCTGTTCTGAATGTAGCTGGCACATGAACTCGATGTGCTGACAGCAATTTGTACTCCGATTAAAATAGGGAGAAAAAAGGGAAAAGAACGCATAGCAGTGACAAAAACTGGAATTCAAGAACCCCAAAACTGTACAATTTGTATTTTAGGAAGTAAAACTGAGAAAGAGCCTCCAT